GAGGACTGAGTTTCAGGAGCAAAACGGCAGTACACATGGTACGAGAAGACCACGTAGTCGTCGAGGATAGATCGTAGATTGCTAGAGTGAGGTCCATTAAAATGGCAACCAGTGGACATACTTGTGATCACAGTACTGTTCAAGATATAAGTTGACGAATGAACCCTCGAGCTCATGAGAGATCGACATGCTACTGCATGCTACAGAGTACCACATAAAAGCTTACCCGTAGGAGTTTGAAGCCTCTGAGCGCGTAGGGGAAATTCGCATCTAGAGATATGCAGCAACGTGGGAAAAGATTATGCGAAATTCACGTAGTGAATAGCGCCAAAGAAAATTGCTGGCCTAGATTCAGGCTAAGGCATTACATCTGTAATGCGTGTCCAAAAAGTGGATGCAGACGTTGCTCTATGATCCACATGGTTCCAAGTCATCTACAGCAATCTAGCAGCGATAACAGTGATCGTTTCGTAGAATCGGAAAACTCAAGGATTTCAAGTCAAGCGCTGGCATAATGCCAAAACCTGAAGTCAGGCCAGTCGTTCACCCCACGATTCTGTAGCGGTGGCCGATTAGTCTAGCGCTCATGGTGGCAGGAAAATCCGGGACTCGAAGAACTGATATCATAGAACCAATAAGTCCCGGTCCAACTCGCTGGTCTGCCGCCGAGTGCTCTGCCGTACCAAAACCCGGAATCCCGGAGGAATGTCTCTAATGCTGTTGACATCCCGGGCAGCGAACTAAGGTCAATCGAAAGAGAGAAACACATCAACTCCCACTTGTTATGGAAGATGATGCAATGAAGGTCAGCGGGCTAAGTTACACTCTAGAACTAGACCTGAACCAAGGCTATACATCACGCTGGAAATCAAAGGATGCGCAGTCGCATACCTGACATGCTTCACCAGCTCATTAGGTCTTGAAGATACAAACGTGCTAAACTTTGGAGTAAATCAGTGGCGCCGAAATCTTCCAGAATGCCAGTACACAAGCCTGGGATTGGCATTCAATGGTGTCGTTTAACATAAGTAACGATATTCTTAATCTACTCCAAGAAAATCTATGCGCAATATCATGATGAAATCCTACTACAGAGTACTGCACTAAACGTCTGCCGTGAGTGTAATCTCCACATTAAATCGAGCCAAGTGTGGTGTTTCGCAAGATGAAAGGGGACACTTACAGTTTTATGGCTACATCCGGAGCAGCTGAAGGTGTTCGCGGCCCAGACGCTTTGCCAAACATAACAGCTTATCGTAAGACACGGCTGAGCCGAGGGCCAACGTAACGGCAGAAGTGTCGATCATTTCTCGGGAAGTCAATACTATGTTCCCGCTTTATAGCTGCCAGGTAAGTGTGCACAGCATCTGAACCACGTCGAATGCCCGCCACCGCAGAAGGATCTCGTTTGGAAACTTGGGGCAGACGTCCACCTGGGTGGAGTTAGCAACGTTGCACTAATCCCTGGAAATGTTGAGGTTTTGTCAGTTCTCTATGCCTTCATTGACGCGTCTCTGGCACGATAATCAGGTTTAGCCGCCTGTAGCGATGCAGTTATTTGCCGTTGCCCTGGTTCACGTGTATTCTGCTCTGTCACTCACTTTGCCTATCTCCTGGTCTGTCCTGGTGGTTTGGCCGTTGAAGGCAATCACTGTTCGTACGCACGAGAACACCTCCTCAGCTATACTACCAGCCACTGCATATCTTTTCTGCTCCTTCGTTGAGAACTTGGAGATCATCTGAAAAAGCCATGTGTCGAGTTAGTCAACAATTCCATTGATGGCGTGTGTAGCCTTACCTGTGTTCCCACTTTGCAGTTTTAGCAATGATCAACTTTTTTACCTGTAATACGCATCTTACTGCCTTCATGCTTTATAATGTACATTAGATCAGGAGTCTATCAATATTGATTGATTCTATTGATAGACTCCTGATTAGATACAAATCATTTTATATGGATGCTCCTATAATATATATACTAAATACTAAATAATAATACTATAATACTAAACTACTCTCAACAGACTGACATCCTGCAAATGCTTAGACTTCCTATTCTGATGAACACGACAAAAAATAGTCAAACTACTAATACTACTACTACTACTAAGAAAGCCTTATCCTTAGCAGGTCCCTTTCCCACTCCATCACGCACAAAAGCTATATCCAAACCATGCCACTAGGCGGGAGCTCTGCGGAAACATGGGAACACCCGCCGGGGGGAGCAATGAGTTGACGCAGCCGAACTCACGATTGAGATGGCACTTGCGCAGACGGCAAGCAGTGGTGTGAGAGCCATCATGACGAGCGTCATCTGCCACGACTTGACGAAACCAATTGTGAAGCCAGAGATGAAGGCGCAGAGGAACTGGATGAAGAGCGAAAACTTGTCGCCAATGCCCTCTCGAATTCTCTCCACGTCGCTGCGCAAAAGATAACCAGAATCATCGAATGACGAATAACCAGACAGACAAAGATGAATTGCTGGACTGAGACACACAGAAATGGACAGATGAACAGAAAGACATAAATACGAAAATAAGAAATAAGAACAGACAAACGAAATAAGAAATAACAACAGACGAACAGAAATAAGAACGAAATAACGAAATAACGAAAGAACGAAAGAACAAAATAATAACGAAAAAACGAATAATAAATAATAACGAAAGAACGAAAG